AATAATAAAGTTTTTCTAGCATTATTTGACTTGTATACTTCATCTGTAATTGTTAAGAATTATGTAAGTACCGATACTAATTGATTTGTAAATAAAGGAATGAGTAATATGGTAATATGAAAATCAAATAAGAACAAAAGATTTACGTGGTAAAATTATACCACAGGTAGAAGAGGGGAATTTATTAATATCGATAATGGAGGATTACAAGTTATTGTATAGAATGTAAGGATTGATTTTTATTTTTTTTAAATAGGTATATTCCTCATATATATGTGCAAAGAAGAACATATAATTTGGTGGAGTTCAACCATAATAAGTCTATACAATAATGGAGGGTTGGGGATAAAACAGGACTAGGATAAAATAGGACTAAAAAATCCACCAAAAATGAGAACTGTTCAAAAAGACCGTCGCTCGATCAACGATCACGGCAATGAGCAGTGACTTGTCGTTTGAGCATCTGCCTTGCGAAAAGCAAGCACCAATGCTCTTGTTTTGAACGCTCGAGCGAGAGCTAAGCAAGTAGCAAAACGCCTATTCATTGTTTCCTTTTCCTTGCACGATTTCTTCCTCTTTTATTACAATTTGGACTCCTTCGTGTCCTCTTCAAATCTGAAATAAATTCCAAACTCCCAACCTAAATTGAATTCCAACTAAAATTCATGGATAGACTTCAAGTATAATTCTCAAGTCGACTTTAAATAGAATTTCCAAATAGTCTTCTAAATAATATTTGGGTCATACCCTACTTCTGACAGTAATATTGATCAACAGTCTTTATGATCACAATCTCTATTTATTTAAACAATATAGGAAAGTACATTAATTTGAAGGATTAAACCACTTTGCCAGATGAATAATGTTAGAGCAATGCCGAATCCTAGGTGACATGAGAGGTGATTCGATGGAAAGATAATTGTGTTTTAAACCATACAATAATAGAATGTCACGTGACATTACGTCATTTATTCTGACACTATAACATGGTTGTAATGAAAATGAGCTGGAGGTTTAGACCCGGTTTATTAAAATTTGGACAAAATTTGAAATGGACCACGTTGTACAACCAAACCAAACTGATCCCACCACTCCCCATATATATAAAATGATTTCAACC